AATTTTAAATCATTTTTTATATATATATTTTTTTATTTTGAGGAAACATCTGACTTGATTTTAAGTTGTTTTAAATTATTTTATGTTGTTACTTTCAAATTTCAGAACTAATCGTTGAATTTGACATTCGTTTAGATTTCACATTAATTTCATTGGGTCATTATAATAGGTCACGTTTGACATCTATCAATTTGAGTTTAATAGTAAGGTATTCTGCTTTAAAAAATCGATTAATATAACGTTAAAAGTTATATTATAACTAATAGATGTGGTTTTCAAAAAAATGTTAAAAGAATGTATTGTGCAAAAAATAATAACAATTATAATCTCTATTATCGTTTACTATATAAACGTATAACCATAAAAATGATATATTTAATACTTATCTCAATAGCGACTTATTCAAGAAAATGCTAATTAAGTCGGGCGCCTATCATTTAATTAATAACCTACAGAAAAGCTCCTCCCTCTTCTCACTGCTTTTGGGATTACGGCGTCAACTAGCGGTTACAATTACATCGGGCTTTAAATATCAAATGGCTGGCTCACAGAATATTAACTAAATTTATTATTCTGACTGTCAAACAATAATTTTAATGAAACATCGTAATTAACTTAGATTTTATTCGATGATCTATAGCAGCGGTCGGCAACCTTTTGGTAAGCAAGGGCCACAAGGTGGCAAAATAAACTAAATGCGAGCCGCACTTGCGATAATAATAATTAACCTTAGAATCCTGATATAATATATAGTCAATGAATAATTTGTCATATCCTAGAGAAAAATAAAAATGCTATTAAAATTGTTAAAACATACGGAATTTATTTCGAACACCGAATGAAGACTACAAAGTAATTAATAAAAAGAAACTGATTTTATACAAAGAATAATGTCCACTTTTCATGCATTGATTGACCTGTCACATGCTTTTTTAAAGGTTTACATACAATTAGTGACAATTCAAATTAGCTTTTGTTTAAAACATTGTAATATCATTTGGGAGCTAGGAGATTCGAAATTTAAAAATAATGTTTTGAGGTTATAACTGGTGTCAAAATCAAAATAATTGTGAAGGTACTTTTCACTTTAAATCAAAAAAATTGATGCATTAAAATTAAAGCTTTTTATAGTTTACTCGTAAATGTGGGAATAAATTAATATATAATTATTGATGTGTACTTTTTATGTTTGATTTTTTATTACATCAAAATTCTGCAGCTGAACGAGGAAGTATTTAATAAAAGAAAGCACTTAAAAAAGTATGTCACTAGATGGCGACTCTAGCAAAAGTTGATTTTTGAAACGAATGGACTAAAGATAGTCATTTCCGTCCTTTTAACTAACTTATTAAAAACTGATATTTGCAAAGTTCGAAACTTAGATATCAGTACAAATACGAAAAAGTACAAATAGAATATGATTTATTTATTATTTATTGATAATCATATTCTATTTGTACTTTTTCGTAATATATGAAAGAAAACCGGAAGGGTTGTCATGGAGAAATCAAGAAAGTACCGTTGCGACATCTAGTTTGATTTCGAGAACTAATATATTTTTTTAACTACCCTGTAATTTAATCATTGATATAAATAAAAATACGTGTTTATCAACAATATGCGGATGGACCAACAAAATTGTCGTCATCACTAATATTTATTTATAAACTCATTCAACGATTATTAGTAAATTTAGTAAAAAAAATCCAAGATCATCTATTCAGTCAGGCTACAAGCGTTTGTAAAAGTCGAAGCTCTATACCGCCACAAATTTCATCTATATCTATACTAATATTATAAAGAGGAAAGACTTGATTGAAAATTCTTTAATAGGTAAATGGGAGTGGAAGTTTGTATGGGAAATTAAATGTTTGTTACTACAGCAACCATTGTTTACTATTCAATTGGTCGCTGTTAGTGTTGCCCAAATGCAAGAACAAGACGAGACTTGGCCAGTCTTGGTCTTGGTCTTGCGCCAATACACCTGGTCTTGGTCTTGGTCTTGCGCTCCCAGTCTTGGTCTTGGTCTTGGTCTTGGTCTTGGTCTTGCAGCAAGAGTCTTGCAAGTATTGCAATTACCTATTAGACTATTGCTATTTATTAAAGTTTACTTTAGATCTTAGGAATTAACATAGCCATAGTAAAGAACAATCAGATTAATAAATGTCTGAAGATTTGATAAAAAATTCGATAACTGCCACATGGTTATCAATTGAGCTATATGCCGTTTTCCATGGGAGTAACTGTTTCTTAATAAACATTTACGCTTTATAAGCTTACATGTGCTAAAACATGTAAAAAACAAATTATTAACAATAAATTGACTGTATTTTAAAGAATCTATCTAGAAAGAGATATGAAATTTAATAAAAGAGTTTTACGATTTATCATTTATTTCAATAAAAAATAAAATACAACACAAATCAAATAACATTACAGTACACAACAGCTTTGTCATTAGGTTCTGTTACTTTATATCAATTCTTTTGACCAAGAATTAATACAAAGTAACCATCTGGCTGACTCACATCACTTAACCTATTTCTATGTTTTCTAATTACTAATGATGCTTTAGAAAATAATCTCTCAGCAGGTCAGTACCTGCAACTTCAGTCAGTTGCAGGTATTGAAAGAAAATCACGGGCCATCTTCGATAAAGTCGGATACTCTGTCTCGTGGGTCCTCCACCAATCTCAAATGTCTTCCGAGCTGGTATCTCTTGGTTTTCTCAGGTACTCCTCCAACTCGTCTATCACTAAGCCTTGAAGACAAGATCCAGATGACGTCGAGGGACATTCATACAGTTTATCAAAGTCTATTACGTCTTCATCTTCATCACATACCTTATTTTCTTTTCTTGGTAATTCCAGAGATTTGTTCAGTGTTAGTGTAGTTCATACATAAATTTGGTATTTGCAGTTGCGTTGTCGACGTGATACCTTGTATTTTATCAATTACGTCATATACCAATAAACATTCGTGGAAAATCGTTGCAATATCTTCCCCAGTATGTCGACCGCGTGATGGTATAAAATCAAGAACTACAGATCGATACTTCCATTCGTTGTCTATATAATGCATAGTAACCCCGTAGTAACTTCTACCAGCAATTGACGTCCACCCATAAATGGTAAACGACATTTTAGATGATAGTTGTTGAAGTCGTTCCTCGAGATTCAATTGGAGCTCTTCAAATCGCTCTTTGACTTTCCTTCTAAGTGTGGAGTGTGGAAATACGTCGAAAATATACTTGTGTAGCTTCGTCATAGAAAAATGACAAGGGAAGATATTTTTTCACCACCCAATCAACTGTAGCTATCGTGATGTTGTCACTACTGTTTTCCGACTGAAATAAAACAATAAATCTTGTATTATTATTTAAAACATACTAGGTTTGAGAGCTTAGGAGGAGGAGGTTTATTGTTGTTAAATCGAGAAAATCGTTAAATTGAGGTTTGTTATATTAAGGTTGCACTGTACTGTAATTTACCAAAATAAAGTACTTAGTTGTTACAGGCCGATTATGAAAACAAATGTAAATATGGGTGTTTTATAAAAAATATTTAACACAATAATTACATACTTAATATGTGTTGTGTAATTGTGAGATAAGTAAATTTATTCTTACCTGTCCACTTCTTCCAGCAGTTACAAAAAAACTTGCGATATTTCCGCTTGATTTTGGTTTAACAGGAAGAAATATTTGTGATTCCTTTTTGTGGAAAGATATTAGATGTTTCCTTAAGCGTTTCTGTTTTTCATTTTTATTTCAACTTTTTTATGTTGGCATAATTTACACAAGACAGTTTGGGATGCATGAATTATTTCGAAAAACTCCTCAAATTTGCTTTTGAGTCTTTTAGATCTGTAACTCAAACTCTCATTACTCGGACTAGAACAATTTGAATCTTCGTCACTCATATTAAATTGTAGACGTGATACGTTTTCCGAAAACAAAAAGAATAAGTAAAAATTATTATTACGTTAGACTCGAAGCACAGCTCAATTAATAATGACTGGAATTAAAATAATTCCTTTTTTTGTAGCACATTTCCTTGCTTTCTACCGCGCCGCCACGGCACGTGCCGGCTCTATTAAAAGGATGCCGCCGCAAATCAAACGATGCCGCGTGCGGCGTACAAACACAGATTAATACCTACTTGTACAGATGCGTGAATTTGTACCAATTACTATTCTTTACATATAAGTGAATGTGTTGTCGTACATCTATACTAATATTATAAAGCTGAAGAGTTTGTTTGTATGTTTGATGACAGAAGTTTTAAAATAAATAAATAAATCCTAAACGTTACTATTCCTCCAAAGTTACTATTCCTCGTGGACGAAGTCGCGGGCACTGCTAGTAAATACTTACTCTCATCATCTCCCTCAGAGATATTTGGGCTCATAAGCAATACAAAAATCCTATCGCAGGCTTTTTATTTTAAAAGTAGGTAGGTACGCTTTTTTTATTATTTTATTAGTTTTGTAGATTTTTTTACACGTTTCAAGTATGTTTAAAAGTGGCTACAATATTTATCAAACCGATGATATTTGACCACTTTTTTGCTATTTTTTCTTGTAAAAAATTAAGAAATTTAATAAATATTTTAACTAAATGTACAATAATAGTACCTAAGTAATTAGTTTAAACCCATATAATCAATATTATAATATGAACTTACTAGAATAAATTATTATGACATCTACTACCTATCCTTACCGTTATCTAATCATAATACTACTTGCGTGATCAGTATAATGTATTCGTTTCCATTCTAAGCACACTGAAATTTATTTATTGTTTGGAACACCTGTGCTCTTAAAACTACACCTAGGCCCTGTGGCGGCAATCAATTAGTGTCAAATGTTGTGATTTCGGCACTGCGGCACCGATTGTTGTAAGAAATTTCAAAAGAAGCCGCCGCCGCGTGCATCACCATGTACTTCCGAAAAGCGGCAAATTTCTTTGAGAAGTCAGTACAAAACCTTTGATGCCGCATTATCAAAGTGCCGATGGTTAAAACAAAACTATGCATGCACTATATTTGATTTTAATGGATTTTTTTTATTCGCTATGTATGCCTATGGTAGGCATTGGTCGTAATGCGCATAGGTCCAGTATTTCATATTCTTTGATACAGTTTTTTGCGTCTCATTGAATTCCTAAGCGTACCTATACACCGAACTGTTATTCCTAACTACTCCGTGAAATAGCCAACCAGGACTGCAAGACCAAGACTGAATTTGGGCAACACTATTCGCTGTTATTATATCGGTGTCATGATATATCTCGATATACAAATCAATATTATTATATGTAAACAGTTTCTAAGATTCACGTGGGCGAAACCGTTGGCGGAAAGCTAGTTATTTAATAGAAATGGCTTTAAGCAATAAACAACTTATATTCAATTTGTATTTTTTCGTATTTGTATTGATATCTACATTTCGAATTTTGCAAAATTCATATTTTTTATATGTTAGTTAAAAGGAACGGAAATGACTATATTTAGTCCATTCGTTTCCTGCAAAAATCAACTTTTGGTAGAGACGCCATCTAGTGAGGTGCTTTTAGTGCTTTCTTTTTTTCTTAAAATATCTCCTAACTGCAATGTCGCATGACGTCCCCCTCTCCTCAACTTCTATCTATGCCATTGCTTGTTACATTGAAGCAAAAAAGTAGGTATCTAATATTTTTCTATTATAATGACTGACGCACTAAATAGAATTTAATTTAATTTAATTTTTTTGATAAATATATTAGCAATATTACCAATATGATTTTAGCTCTAAGCTCGGCTTACCAATTCATTAAAGTATTGAAATTTATTTTAATTCAGTTCAAGCGGTTATCGAAACGTAAAGAAAATATAAAATTCAATTGTCCAAGGTTAAAACCTTGGACAATTGAACAACAATAGCTGCAAAATTATCAACTGTTAATGTTGCCTCTGCTGTAGCCCAGGTATTCACTTCCATGACGTCATATTGGTATGCAAACAAAATATATAGTAATATAATATTACTAACGACTATCAACTAACTAAATAGTAAATAGCACATTCATGTGATTGCATTCAGAGCCGCATTGATAGTGTCGGGGCTCTAGTCAATGGAATACTTGGGACCCCTTATCTTACCATGACTTAAAAATCGTAATTGGTTCAAATTATTGCACTGTAATCCACGGTTTAACATTGATTAACGCAAAATATTACATTTATGGATTTAGTAGGAAAAAAGATCAAAAAATACTTATATTAAAAGTGAATTAATTCATCAAAAAAATGCTATGTATTGAAGTCGGTGGAGCTTTTTGTAGGTATTAAATACTGAGCTGATTTCGATAGCAGTTTCTTTAATAATTGAGTCGATTCAATTAAAAGAAATTGTATATTTATGCTGTCAAGTCCTTATAATACCAATTTAGAGATTTTAAAACAGCTCGAAGTTACCATGAAATTTTTGAAAAGAGAAAAAGCAAACGCCTTTAATTTTATCAGTATGATTTATAGTTTTTTAATTAATTTTGAAAAAGACATTTTTACCATAATTATTAAAATGCTCTACTCTCAATTCAAACACTTTTTTTTTCAAATCTTAAAACATGTCAAAGCCAACTACTACAACATCACAGATATAAGGAATAGCGATTATCATTTAATGAAGGTGATAATATCATCATCATCAGCCCATATTCGTCCACTGCTGGACATAGGCCTCCACAATTGCACTCCATCTACTTCGATCCTCGGCTGTTCGCATCCAGCTCCTGCCAGCCAGCTTGCGTAAATCATCGCTCCACCGCGCCTGAGGACGTCCTACACTACGTTTGCCGAGACGCGGTCTCCACTCAAGAACTCGTTTACCCCAACGGTTATCGGTTCTGCGGCTAATATAGCCAGCCCACTGCCATTTCAGCTTGCTAATCCGGTGGGCTATGTCGATAACCTTGGTTCTCTACCGGATCACCTCATTTTTGATTCGATCCCGCAGAGAAACGCCGAGCATAGCCCTTTCCATAGCCCTCTGAGCGACCTTCAACTTGTGGACCAGCCGTGCCCGTCCACGTTTCGGCTCCGTATGTCATAACGGGTAGGACGCACTGATTAAAGACTTTCGTCTTTAGGCACTGCGGGATCGACGATGTGAAGACCCGACGTAGTTTCCCAAACGCTGCCCAACCTAGCCGAACTCTTCCATTTACCTCGCTCACGAAGGCTGATGCGCATAGAAGAGTCAGCCAGGTAATTCAGCATCTGTTGTAGGTTCTGCAGATTTTCTGCCATGATGACGATCTCGTCAGCAAATCTCAAGTGAGAAATGTACTCGCCATTGATGTTGATGCCACGTCCTTTCCAGTTTAGCGTCTTAAACATATCCTGCATTGCATTAGTAAACAATTTCGGAGATATAACGTCTCCTTGTCTCACTCCTCGATGCAACTGTATAGGACTTGTCTGCTGATTCTGTACTTGGACGGTCATAGTGACGGCCTCATAAATACATCTTATCTTGAATGTATCGCCAATCGACTTGGCATCGCTGCAGGGACTCCAGAACGGACCAGATCTCAATCGAGTCAAAGGCCTTCTCATAGTCCACAAATGCTAGACACAGGGGCTGATTATACTTTTCAGTCTTCTGTATAATCTGCCGCACTGTGTGGATGTGGTCTATGGTGCCGTATCCACTCCGAAACCCAGCCTGCTTCGGTGGTTTGAATTCGTCAAGTCTTTGCGCATGACGGTTCGTAACTACTCTAGAAAACAGCTTATAGACGTGGCTTAGAAGGGAAATGGGTCGATAGTTCTTCAGCGGGGTTTTGTCTCCCTTTTTGAAGAACAGGACGACTATACTCCTACTCCACGCCTGAGGAGTTCTCCCTTCGAAGAGGACAGCATTAAAAAGCTTTTGGAGCTCCTTCAGTACCGGTTTACCTCCTGCTTTTAATAATTCAGTTGTAATGCCATCCTCTCCATGGGATTTTCCATTTTTAAGCCGTCTCAGAGCGATCTCGATTTCGCCAATGCTGACTTCTGGCTCTAAAATCCTCATTTTTGGGATGAGGTTGAGGTGCATGCGAAGCGTATAACCGGGTATAGAAATTTTCCACCTCTAAGAGGACCGCCGGCTTCGAAGCAACGACTTCCCCGCTTGCTGTGGTCAACTTCGTCAAGTGGCTTCTTCCAAGAGATTGTACGAATACTTTTGGCCCCCTGTTTTGCTCGATCGCTCTTTCTATAGAGTGAGTGTATCGGAGATCATATCGTACGCGTTTGCTGATCATCTGGTTTTGAGCACGTTTTCCTGACGAAGTGGCAGGTGGGTTTCACGTCGTTCCTTCATTAGCCCCAAAGTTCTATCCGAGAGCTTAGACATCCTTTTTTTTTTTTTTGACGCTGAGAAATGCATTCCGCATACCCGCTTCTCCCTGCGCGAGCTCCACGGGTTATGTGGGACTCACCAACCCCAGAATGGGGCTGTTCAAAGAGCAGAGGCCTACCCACTAAAACTCAGTGATACCAATGTCCAGCCCAGCGTGCGCCGAACCAGTCACCGGTATTCCGTTCCTTAGTCGCGCTATGATAGTGGCCCCGCCGAGGCCCGATCACTCCACAGAGCTTAGACTTCCTGCCCTTGCCATTCTTCCCTGAGTATTTGAACCACATTTTCAAGGTTCTCGTCAACGTCAACTGTGGTTTCCATGGCAGCGAATTGGCTCTCAAGATTTGACTGGAACGTTTCAGATTCCGTCATGGTTTTGGAGTGGAGTAGGTCAGAGCCTGGCCTTCATCAAGCGGACACGTTCAGCTTTGAAGTCGAAATTCAGAGAGCCTCGGACAAGTCGGTGATCGCTGCCGGTATTAAACCTATTGATCACGAAGACATCTCGATCTCATTTTTTGTCACATTGTCGGGGCATTGCCACGACCACTTTATTTGGGGCTGTTTCTTAAAGAACGAGTTCATAAGGAAGAGCCCCTCCCGTTCGAGGAAGTTAAGTATCATTCCTGCTTCCAAATCCATGGGATCCTACTACCGATGCGCCGCAATTTTGTGCTCCCACTTTAGCGTTAAAGTCCCCCATAACAACGCTGTAGTGAGTCTTAGTAGTGAAGTGGAGTGCCCTCGATATATCATCGTACATAAGGTGATAATAAAGATAATAAAGAAGGAATTTTCTCATATGTTGTATGTACTTAGATGAAAACATTTTCCTTCTATAAAAAAACTTTTATTCTTGGTGCATGCACCGTGTCTACTCTGCTTTAGGCTGAGGCTGATTGGCTGATTGCAGTTAGCCACTGTATTTTTATCATCACATAAATAATTAATACACCGATCATAATATACTCGTATAATTATTAGAAATACATATATACCTTAAAAGTACCACAAGAACTCAAATCCGTGATAATCGACAAATTTTCTGTCAGTCGGGAATCGTACGCGGAACCTCTTTGTTGGCGACACCAATTTTCTTGTTGGAACCAATTCTACTAAATAAATTTTGTTTAAATCGAATCGAAAACGGATCGAAACTATAGTTTTTAATGGTTTTCCTATTCTACAAAGTGACATACGATACAATTCCAGTTCTATTTTAGTTGGAATTGTATCGTAAAAACTGTAGTTTCGTTCGGTTCCGATCCGTTTTCAATTTGATTTAAACAAAATCCAGCCAAAATAGAACTGGAATTGTATCGTATGTCACTTTGTAGAAAAGGAAAAGTATTAAAAACTGTAGTTTCGTTCGGTTTCGATACGTTTTTATTTAGTAGAATTGGCCCCCAAGAGTCCGGCGATCTGCGTCTCGATCTTTATAAAATTTACTGTTATAAGTATTTAAATTCCTCTATCCGCTATCATGAAATCCTCAGTTATTAAAGCTAATTAATTGCACAACCATCTGTGTTAAATACGAGGGTCAAACTGAAAGTTCTTAGAACTGGCCACTTATAAACAATATAATAAAAAAATAATTCTAAAATTTGAAAATATAACTCTTTGCCAATATTACTGAGTATATATTTCATTCATTTGTCATTTGTTTTACGATTTGGCGGCAAATTGAAAATTGTCTGTGTCACGTCATCTTGAATTTAACACGAGAAAATTTTCGTGCAATGATTTTTTATGACTTTCGATGTCATTTAAGTCAACAAGAAAGTTATGATAGACTACGATTGGCCTTTCACGATGAAGCCCTATCTCGTGCGACTGTTTACAACTGGTTTAATGAGTTTAAACGTGGTCGCACTAATCTCACTGATGATTTACGTGAGGGACGGCCTTCTACGGCGACGACTGAAGATAACATCTGTGTTGTGCGGCGTATGATAGAGACTGACAAAAGAGTGACCTATCAACAGATTCGGACAAGCTTAGGCATCGGTATGAGTCAAGTGCACAAAATCCTCCACGAACATTTAGCGGTCAGGAAGCTTTGCGCCCGGTGGATACCTCATAATTTGACTGAGGCTCAAAAACTCCATCGTGTGGATTGGTGTCGTAAAATGATTGAAAGATTTAACGGAGGTGACTCAAATGCTGTGTTCGACATACTAACAGGTGACGAAAGCTGGATTTACTGTTATGATCCTAAAACCAAAAGACAATCTGCTCAGTGGGTGTTTCCTTTCGAGGAGTTGCCAACTAAAGTGAAGAGAGATCGAAGTGCGGGAAAAAAAATGGTGGCCTCGTTCTTTGGAAGGATAGGTCATTTTGCAACAATTGTGTTAGAGGATCAAAAAACAGTTTCTGCAGAATGGTACACTACCAATTGTTTGCCACTTGTCTTGGAAAAAGTTCGAGAGAAACGACCTCGCAGTAGGATCCTCCTTCACCACGACAACGCCTCGTCGCACACCGCCAAGCGAACGATCGACTATTTGGCGACATCAAACGTTGAATTACTGGGTCACCCGCCGTATAGCCCCGACCTCGCGCCTTGTGATTTTTATTTATTTCCAAAAATTAAAGAAAAACTTAAAGGAAAGCGGTTTATGAATGCTGAAGAAGCGGTGGCTGCGTATCGCGATGCCATTGAAGAGACCCCTAAGGACGAGTGGGCAAAGTGCTTTTCCCAGTGGTTCCATCGCATGCAGCGGTGTATTGACGTGAATGGACAATATTTTGAAAAGATATAATAAAACTAATAACTGGCTAATGTAATCAGTTTTTGATTTTCTAAGAACTTTCAGTTTGACCCTCGTATGCAGTGTAATTAAACTGAAAAAAGACTGTTGCAAAACAACGTTCTGTCTAGCACGTAAAATGGTTAGTGTTATAGATACTGTAACGTCCATGCATACTACTATAGGTAGGTTTAGTCTAATTTACGCTCAATGATGGCCGCTAATATTTTGAATTATTAGTTTTTCCGCGTTCAAATTCGCGTGTTCGCGTTTTGCTGGTTGATAATCTTTCTTTCTGACCGAGACCGGCGTAGAGTCAGTATCTTTGAATTTACTTATAAATGATTTGATGTATATTATTAGCTAATCAAATCTAGAGTTTGAAGAATTACACACAGGATTTCATTGAGCAACCATGAGCTACACCTGAACCAAACATAAGATGATGGAGGCGCCGTGTTTATATGCATAGCCAAGTGAGAAAACGAGACAGTAAAGAAAAATACAATAGTTCACAAGGTGATGTGGTTGATTTCTTTAATCGATTTGATATCATAGCGGCAGCAAACGGTTATCAAGAATCAACTAAAAGACTAGTGTTTGCAGCATATTATAATTATTATTTTATAATAATATTAAGGATAATTATGAGACATTTCAGCAGCTTCAGAAATACATCAGCGAGGACTTCTCATCGACTGCAAATTCTCTCGCAAAACTTTTCGTCAGAAGACAGGGTGCAACGACCCACTTAATTGCTTTTACTCGTCAGATTATTGAGGATGTTTGTTGTTGCAAATTTCGAATGTGTTCGAATTGACAACAGTTTAAGGACGTGCTTAATTAATTAAAAGAAATGTACAATGGAGGGGATAGAGAAGCGGATCTTAATTTACCTGTGAAATTAACAAATATTATAGATATTATTCCTTCCTCTAGCTACATAAGGCGGACAAAGAGATCAGCGACCTTCAACAAAAATTCGCCCCACTAGAACATTTAGTTCTCCTCACCAAATCCCACTTCCCGATCAAATGATGTCCCGCCAGTATAATTTCAGACCAAGGAATAACATATAACAACAACATCTGAGGAGGACATCACTGAATGAAAACAAAGGCCACCCAAACGATCAAAGGCGTCTGATGTGAATGCTGGAAACACAAGGCCGGCACCGTTCAACGCCATCCAGTATCCTAGCGTGGGGCAACGTCAGTGGGGCTTCTTTAAGACAATATTCGCGGGCGCGTTTGATGTAATCTCTCATGTATGAACTCCAGTCGATTCCCTACAGATATCATTAGCATTCTATTGTAATAAATAAATTAGAAGAACTCAATGATACAGTAGTTAGTGCCTTTGGTCTACAAAACCCTTAAGAATTCGATGTTGGTAATTTCTTAATATTAAACTAATTTAAATTTGCAAAACTAATTGAGAATAATCATACGTATATACATTAATATCAGTATAAAATGTTTCGTTATCATCTTCACGCTTTATTTTAGATTATAGATTAGCATGTTGAAATATAGAAAAAACCTCCTAAATTATTTGAACAGAAATGATCGACTATGAAAAAAACAGACAGGTATTTCTTATCCCGATCCTTCTAATAGATATGAGTCTCATTATAAACTTACAACAACTAGTATTGATCTTTCGTTATTGATATACGAAATTACATTAGAAATAAAGTTTAAGGGAAAGGAGAGCAATATGGAAGGGCTAACTTTGGGTAGTAATAAATAGAAATGTACTCATTTCTAAACCATCGCGCTGCATTATCAAAAATTTATAATATCGGGTATTAGGCGTCGGTGCAGGTCAGTGTAAAATCGCGTCTAATACCCGGTCTTATAAGAATTAAATAGAAATGTAGTTGGTTTAAATTTATATTGTTTTTAAAGGCAATATAATAATGCAAACTAATTTCTAATTAACAATATCTATATTCTTGTCAAAAATTAGTTATAATTGCTAAAATGAGAAGTGAGAAATTCCATTTTGCTCTCTAATAGGAGAGAGTAAAGGCAATTTGGAATATATAAAACAAATTTAAGTTTTGCAAATAATACCTAAAATACATCTTTTTTCTAGCTTACGAACTTATTTACAATACGACAGACATCGTAAGCAATCTTCTATATCTGATTTTTCGTATTTTTCTTCGGGAGGCTGAGAAATAATTATTTCTTTGCCTTTCTCTATTGTATTCTATTCTTAGCTTCCTTAATTATGTCCCTTTGTTTTTACAGTAGTTTTTTTGTTAATTGTTATAATTTTCAACTTTTTTACTCCTTCGATTTTACCCTCAACTTCAAATTTCCATCTTCTTTGTATGCTAGTATTATAAATCCATTGACATATCTATAATTTCACGAATATTTTGCTTTGGTTATTGTATCAATATGTACACTCGATTTGTAGTATATATTTACTCTCCAAGCAAAATAGTCTTATTTCTTAAATAACTTAAGCAATCAAAGCAGAGAAATCTGTCGTTTTGTAATATTTTCCTATCAAATAAACACATAGCTTGTATATTTTACTGGCTGGAACGAATCGGGCTAAGCATTGTTCCTAAATCACACTCAACTACGTGTTATAAGGTTTCATTTTGCTCACTCCTTCCATCTTGCCCTCCCTTTCCCTATATAGAACTTACTTTTCTAGGCCTGTGCTTAAGTATTTGTTTCGATTTTACCACCTTATTCCTTTTTAAATTATCTTTTAAGAAGTTACCAGTGCGTATCTTATAGGCTGCAAGTCATCTTTTAAAATACGCGACATGGTTCTAGGCCAGATATGTTTGTTTCTGTCACAACCAGAGGACCTATTAATAAATCGATATACAAACATTTAACTAATACCAAGAGTAGAGGGAGGTTTTCAAAATTGTGTTTGGTTCCACATCTACTTTATGTAAAGAAATCACAGCGATTCGGTTCTCTTTATCACCTCACTCCATTTTAATATCACAAAATACTTTATGATGTATTGGCGCAAAACTAAGAAAATCATATAAAAATTACAGAGTCGAAATTCAAAAGTAATATTTTGTTTATTTTAATTTGAACAATATTTATGGCCAGACTATAATCATTATTCTTTATCATTCGTTAGTCTTTATTAAAGTACATATCAAAGTAGCAATATAAATATATATGTCGCAGGCATTTTGTATGAAACCGCCGTTTACATACGGCGTCGTCAGTTTAGAAACGCTCGCTATTATGTAATATGCCGAAGGAAAAATGTATATTGCCGATTCATTATATATTGTGCCTAAACATTAGATTGATAATTCAAACGCCATCTACATAATACCGTGGCAATATAAATAATTAGTTTTGTTTCTTACCACTCGCGTTGTTGTTGATCATAACAAACAAAATGGCATCAATTAGTGGTTTTGTGACACAAAAAGATATTGAAAATAGGGCAAATACTGCGTGTTCAGTTTGCAAAATACTTGTGATTTTAAAGACATTTACTTTAGTGAATAAAATAATAATTACGATATTCAAGCGGAAGCTATAAAAAGCCGTGGACAAATGAGAAGATTTTTGATGTAATCCGGCACCTCAAAAATGCTAAGGTGTCCATAGAATCTGGCTCTCGGAGGATACCTGCCCACAATTATTGATAAAATAAATATGAGGTTATAAGTATCAGTGATGATGACTATCTTATCCTAAAAAGGATAGCCCTGATAGTCTAACGGTTCGTGTAATACCATCAGAAGATTATTATGACTTAATATTCGATATTCATAGAGGCTGCGGACATGGTGGTCGAGATAAAATTCAATATAAAATAAAGGATAGATTTATTATTGTGAGAAAAGTGATCGACTTATTCGTCTCATTGTATTCTGTCTGTGAATCCAACATACAACATACCAAAGAAAGGTATCGTAGTTAAACCAATTATATCTAGAGATTTTAAAGAGTGAACAAGTGGTGCTCATAAATGTTGTTTTTGTTTTAAACCAGTTCACACTATTAGCGGGGAAACATTTGGTAAAGAAGGTTATGGCTCAAAAGTTTCGTGTTTTATGAGTAAATTTTGCTGCATCAAGGCAGCTGTAGATATTGGAGATATCGTTTTTTTTTAACTTCCCAAAAATTGATAGAAGGTCCGATACTCAAAATATATCTGGAAAAGTATTGGATATGAGACATGCCGTTTACCAAATTAGTACAAGCAATGGGATTATCAAAACCTGATTTAAGTTTGGTGAAAGAAATTCTTCAAATATAAGATAATTCCTTAAGAGAATCTATTTCCAAAGAATCTTTATTTAGAGGAAAAGGTTTTGGCAAATGCTTATGTAAGTCGGCTAAAAGGCAGTGTTAAAATAGCGGATGTGCATGTTTTAAAAAGAATATTCTTTGTGGGTCCAAATGTCACACAAGTTTGACACGCGCAAATAAATAATTCTTGATTTAATTATTAAAACCCGCCTATTTGTATTCTTGGGTATTGGGAAATATTAAGTGATTTTGTTGAAATACGGATTTTTACATTGATATTGAACTAACCACAAAATTATAACAAGGACAATTCAAAATTAATATATATTTTAAATAGTATCATTGCATATCTCCACCCCTCCAATCCGCATTAGGCCAGCGTGAAGGGTCATGGCCCATCCTCCTTAAACATCCATAAGGAAGGCCTGAGCCCCTGCAGTGAGGACCTAAAAGGGCTGATGATGATGATGATCATTGGATATTTTTGAAATATCGTATAAGTTGGATGAATCTGTCAAGACTTCACGAAATTATTAATGTACCCACCTAATTGTTTATCTTTAAAAAGTTATTATTATTTAGGCTGATTATTCCAAACTGTGTTTTCTTCATGGTCACCCTAAAACTACAACCAACATTAAAATTATAACAATTGAACGAATTGTCATTTTGCCTTCGGCAAATTACTTAACAGCGAGCGTTTCTAAACTGACGACGCCATATTTAAACGGCGGATTCACACAAAATGCCTGCGACATATATATCGTCATAATATCGCTGAATTGTCGAATCCCTAGTAGTTAGGTGATCGCTCCCCTCGGGGCTTACTACCATCTCGTAGCGCAGTATTGTTTTAATCTTACCTAGTTGACTCGCACTATGACCTACTTAAAAGTAAGTTTATTTCAATATTTTTTCTGTTGGAAATCTGACTTTGAGACTAGGGTTGATTGTCCTACGATACTTTTCTCCAGAGGACTTCTTGAGGGTCAAATGAAAAATAATCTTCTCAAAGACCTTATTTAATTACTTAATTAGGTTTAATCATAACATTAAATTAAATAAGATACAAATTCATTACTGTAATTATAAAAAAGTAGGGCAATGAGAACAAGTTGAGGAGAAAGTTATAGTAACAGATATTAAACTGTACTTATATTAATATTTCTAGTCTATCAGTCTGATTTTACTAATTCAATAAAGTCTTTGTCGTAATTAAAGTAGTAGAAAACCATAAACAGATTTAATTAAAAATATAATTGTCTAGGAATAAATTAATTAAAGAAAAAACTATTTAAAAATTCACGTTTGTATTTATAAAAAAACATTACTTAAATTATTAAATTTAAAATATTATTTTATTATTTTTTTACTTTAGAAGAATATATAGTAGCATACATCCACCATGACTGCAATTACCCAGTCCACTTAAATCTAATCATCAAAAGATTATTCGAGAAAGGACTAGAAAAACTTACACAGGAAATATATTATTAAATAGTATTATTAGAAACATATTAACAATTATCATTTTGGAATAATTAACATTTTTTTTTTATTAGAAATTCATCACACTTATAAACATTTTAACATATGTATATATAACGTATGTCAATAATGAGTATAGGACGACTTGCACAAATTTATCCACGTAATATAACCTGAAAAGAAAACGAAAAGATTATGTTTAATTAATTTTGCATTAAATAGTTAAATTTAATTTTTCTTTCAGAAAAATGCTTTTAATTTTCACATCCGAGGTGCCTATCCCATCTCGGTCACTGGTGATTTTTGAAGCATTTTACTTTAAAAATGAATTTATTATATTAAATTAAATATAGAAGCGACCGAATGGAATTCATATAAAATAATTTAAACCTGTCTTATTTTCTAAGAATACAATAGGTTACACTAAAGACAATTAGGTAAGGCACCTGTAATATAATTGTACAATATATAAGCATCAATGAAAATGTTACAGATAATTTATATTTAATTACGTGATATTTTCTTAGGGTTGACTAATATTGCGCAATATCTTTCAGCTTCACGCTTTGCAATCGTATTTATATTTACTCTGCCATACCGTCATCATTATGGGTGTGGCCTAATTTAGTCTGCTGTTGTTACTCGACGTCTAAAGTTTTGATAATATTTTGACGAATAATACTTACTGCCAATGAAGTCTCCTAGCTTGGGGCAATGTCAGTGGGTCTTCTTTAAGACAGTATTCGCGAGCACCTTTAATATAATCCCTGATGTACGAACTCCAGTCGATTACCTACAGACATCATAATCATTATGTTGTGTTAAGTTAATGAGGAAGTATTAAAAAAAAACGGAAGCGCTTAAAAAGCACCACCACTAGATGGCGATCCCAGCAATAGTTGATTTTTGCAGGAAACGAATGGACCAAAGCCAGTCATTTCCGTTCCTTTTAACTAACATATTAAAAAACTGAAATTTGAAAAGTATGAAACTTAAATATCAAAACAAATAGAATATGAGTTGTTTATTGAGTTTTGAAAACTAATTTACTTTTAAGACATGAAAGAAAACCGGAAAACATGAAAAAAACGGTTGTCATGGAGAAATCAGGAGCGTACCGTAGCGACATCTAGTATGATTAAGGGAACTTATGATTTTTTTTAAAATACTTCCTTATTAGAAGCGTATTAAGAAGAATACGATGTTCTAGTAGTTAGAGCTACGATGCAGACATTATGCAACTTTAGCAAGTTTTCATTGTGACAAAGCCATTAAAAATTCAAAAAGAATTTGAAAGCCTTCTTTCTGATAATCGAAAATACAACTGTTAGACGAAAAAATACCTACTACCATGGACATCACTATTTACCATGGACATTACGAGTATCACTATCTGCGAGTGAGCTGTCACTGCAATTTAAACATTGACGTTTAATGAAATTCTCGCCAAGACACTCGCCAGTATAGAGTTCGTCTTACGAAAGAAGTTCCGCGGATCACAATGTTTTTATAACAAAGGAGAGAGTTAGGCCGCGGGACTTCTTTCGTGAGACAGAATTGTGAGTACCTAATGCGCAGATAGCAATTTGCAAAAGAAAAAGATTATGTGAAACTATTGGAATCCATATTTGAATTGTAATTTTAAATCTATACAAAAATTATAAAGTTGAAGAGGTTGTTTGTGTGTTTAATTGAGAGCGCTTATCTCCGGAACTAGACTAGATCTAGAAAGTAGTTCGAATTGAATAAATATTTTTGTGTTGAATAGTCCATTTATTAATGAAGGCTGTATAATATCACGCTATAATTATAATAGTGGAGCAGCAATAAAAAATGTTGCTAAAACGATAATTATACTTATTAATTAAAAGCAAATGTCATTTCATATGTACCTTAGTATCAGTATAAAATATTTTGTTGTCCTCTTCACTCACTTTCTTCCGCATAACTTTTAAATTGTCATTTTTGAAATACCATTCCTTCGTTGTATAATATTGTAAGACTTCCAAGCCGTAGTTAATTTTTTTCTGCAATTTCACCATACTGTAAAATAAATCACAAGCATAAAGATGTATCTACGAAATTCATCTGCGTAAATATCGCAGCCAACTGGTTAGATCAGCCGTTCAATTGGGTGCCAAGCCATTTTATTGAACGGCGCTATTCAAATGCACGCCTAGATTCTAGTTGAATCATTTTGATATTTGGAACGTTCAACAAGAGGGCTGATTTTAAAAATGCCAAAATGTTCATTTAGTTTAAATCATCGAAAAGAGATCATTCACCGTAAACTAGTCTAAAATAACTGTTTTTTTTTCATATTTTATGGTTTTAGTCAGTTTGTTAGGTGACCGTAAACTAGTCTATCAGTTGATACCCAGTCTTAAAATAATAAACAGTTATCTTGAGTTATGATAGCTATTATAACCTCGATACATTATTTACAAATAACGAATGTCCCTGCCCTTCAAATAAAAATATGCTAGGATAATAATCTATTTCCAGCAAAAACTAATTTTAATTATCACTAATGGCGGGTAGACGCGACCTTTAAAAAAACATGTGACGGGTAAATCAATTGCTATTCCCCATGAATTGTCAGATAATTTTCTGAAATTTGTTCAGCCGTATTGTAGAACGTTGTGTTCTGCTAGTCAGTAGTAATTAAAGAGCTAGCCGCCCAATTGGATGGCTGATTTAACTACTTGGTGGCGACATAGATACCTATATGAAAAAGCTCACATACGACTGAATGCCGTTTTTATTTTACTCTCTTCTAAAAAATGTTAACAATAGTGAGGTAACATTATGCTTGAAAATAATTTCTTGAGTGACATTTTTATCTTTTAACTTTTTTACTACATTATTTAATAATCAGTTGATTGAATCGAATGATTCATTTAAATTAGATAATTGAGTAATATGGTGATTAAATTCGCTCATAAAATAATGTAATGAGGTTAAGAGTTGGTACCTAGGATTTTCTTTAGTCCTCTGATTTCTATCCTTACTCCTGAACGACGCGTATAGCCGCGGAGAAAATATTAAGAAACATTATTTGTACGGCTCTGTACAGTCTCAAAAGTCTCAATAAATATTAAAATTAAAGCCTCCATTTAAGGTACTGTTATGTTTAAAATACAGCTTCAAACAGCGCCGAACAAAATTATTTTAACTTTCAAAAGTAGATTTTATTTTATTAAACGGCTAATGCTGCATCAGCGCTGTGTTGATGCTGTATCCTAACAAAAAAAAACAAAGCAAATACTTACAAGGGTTTCTTTCCAAATAAAATCATGAGGAAATCAATTAAATACGCTGGCAAAAGATGGGTAAAGAACAGAGCTATCTGGTGCTGCAGCCAGGATGTTTTCGGAGAACCTCCAGGGTACCACAGACAGACGGAGAACGGGAATTCTTTGACGTGATAACGACCTGCAAGAAGACCAAGACAATAGTTATAAGAGGAACCAGATAAATAAATAAATAAAAATAATGCAAAAGCTCATCTCCAACACAATTTCAATTTCAATCTTATGATAGTGTGAAAATCATTTCAGATCTATGTAAAATACCATAAGTTACGAAAAACTTATAAAATTGCTTTTTTCTTCTGCATCAAAAAATACACAAAAGAAATATATGCATTGCTGAATTAAATTATTTTGCAATTACTTACCCATATCTAAGGCTGCACCCCAAGTGAGAGGGTTGTCTTCTGACAATGTCAAATTGCAGACTTGCAACTCTTTTGGTCTGTAAGAATGTAAACATTTATTAGCATGTTAAAACATAGAGAAAAGCATATTATTTTACCAAGATAAACCTACTATAGTAAAATAGACACTTCTTTATTTCCCGATCCTTCGAATAGATATAAAGCCGAGAGAGATTAAACCTTAATATTTAATTTGAAATGCTTATTGTAAACGACTTGCCGAGTGTAACCTTCTGAGTTATATGGCCAATAATTTATTTGATTTGAGGTAAGTCTCATTATAATCACCAATTAGAGTTGACCTCTAGTGTATTGACATACCAAATGACATTAGAAATAAAGTTTTATATAGAACTTACTTTTCTAGCCCTGTTGTATACGCAAGGAGAATGCATGCATTGACTACCATATCTACTGGTATAACATCGGCGTGGAGAGATTCGTCCATATGCATAGTTCTAATCGCACCTGCAAAATATAAAAACTTTTTTAATTAACAAAATGTCGAATTGATTCAAACAATGTCATTTCGAAAAGAAAAAAACCAAAATGTCTAATAAAATATAAAAAAAAATTAATTAATTAATATAAACCCACTCATGAGAAATATCGATAAAGCGTAAGTTATAGCTACGACTACGGCAACGTCCATGAGTTAGGCGGCCGCGCCTCTGATCTTTTCAAATAGTTTTAACGACACACTGCGTTAAATTACGTTTTGCTGTAAAATTTTAGTAGGAGTTTATGAATATGTATGACAGTATAAAAAAATAAAACGCTCTTACCTTTACCAGCGCCAACCATAAGACCTGTAGGACCATTTAAATTATCTACCCATCCGGGCATTGGTTCTTTGTACGATGAGGTCACTGAAAATAAGGCAGTAGGAGTAATTGGTAATCTTATAATTTAAAAAAAATATTAAATCGTTCATAATTGGAAAATTGTTCTTTATAACCAAATTCTTTTTTAATATCTGTTAAAATCATTTTGCTATTTTTAATTTAATTTCACTACTCACCGATAGATGGCCTTGCTATGACGATTGGAAATTTTCCAGCATATTGTGATACGAGATCTTCGGTCAATGATTTTGTATAGGCATAAGTGTTAGGCTGAGGCTGTATAAGTCTGTAATTACAAAAAATACATATATGTATACAGGCAAAAGGTAACTTGTGTTTTTTCTCAAAGTCACTTTTATTAAAATCGATACCAAGTTACTTTAAAAAAGAAGTAAGAAATAATAAAAATCAGTAACCCGGTAGTTACAGTAAAAATGTCAGTTCGACTATAGATTAAAATGGTTCTAGACAAAGGAGTCGGCAACCTTATGAAACAGCTAGAGCCGAAAGCTACAATTTATATTTCAGTTTTTTTTTAAGAGCCACTAAAATATTTAAATTTAAAGTTCCGCAATTTTACAGCGAAAGAGCCGCATCAAGTCAAGTTCAGCAGAGCGACGGCCTAACTAGATTTTAGCCATAAGATATGTTCTTAACGATGTTATGACTATATTTCGTTTCATGACATATTACTTTGACATGTCCTTTGGTGGATAAATTTGGGATAAATGACTAACTAGGCAAAACTGCTATCAAATACATACTTTATATTTTTTTATCGTTCTTCGTTACTAAAGTACATGACAAACCAGTATGAAACAGTGTATCGGCATAACATCGCCTAGATGTAAATCCTATGGCTAGAATCAGAACAGGGGTTCTAGGCTGTTGCTATGCACTGCACTAGCATACTAGCCTAATGAGGAAGTATTAAAAAAAAACATTAGTTCCCATAATCAAACTAGATGTCGCTGCAGTACTTTCTTGATTTACCCATGACAACCCTTCCGGTTTTTTTCATGTATAAAAATTAATTAATTTTCAAAACTCAATGAACAACTAAAATTATATTTGTAATTTTTCGTATTTGTATCGAAATTTAAGTTTCAAACTTAGCAAATTTTAGTATTTTAATATATTAGTAAAAAGGAACGGAAATTACTATCTTTGGTCCATTTGTTTTCTGCAAAAATCAACTTTTAGTACAGTTGCCATCTAGTGAGGTGCTTTTTGATGATTTTTATTTTTAAATACTTCCTAATTGATAACGTTTGATGTAAAATTTATATTAGAATCAAATTTTCCTGTAATAGATGGCACCAAAACATTAACATTCACAGCATAATACGACCCATCAGGCAATCAAACTCACTTGGGTTGTAAATATTCTAGCATTTCATCGTCCATCCACGAGGCGCAGTCCAATACATGTTGTGGTTTATGCTTGGAGGGATACAGTTTCTCTTCCAGGACATCTAATTCACAATGATTGTAAGCGGTGGAGACGTGAACGAAAACCTGAAATAATTAATGTTGAAATTATAAGATAGACAATATATACTGCAAAAAGTTAATAACTCATTCAGAGGTCTTTGTGTGCGCTTCTACAATAATGTCTTAATCAAAATAAAACAGGTAATTTGATAATAAGCACTTTAAATCTACTATTTAAAAAAATATTATCAAAAAGCTTATGTATTATAATATATTATAAGGTATCCGATTATTTCCTGCGGCGGTTTTGCTGTTTTCCCGCTACCAGGCGCGTCCCCCGGATGGCGGATGGGGGTTGTGGCTTTGCCCACCGTGGATCGTACGGCTTTGGGTGTACAAAATAAACAGCACTGGTGGGCTCGCGATTAGACTCGGATTTTTATGTTCATCTTGGCGTTTTGTGTTCTGAGACTGACGGCCCAAGTGGCAGTGGCCTCGGATTTTTATTTTCCGATGGCGACTCATTAGTGGGAGTGGACTTGGTTGTGGACTCTTAGTTCGGTCGCCTTGCCAGACGGGCTTGATGGTGACTGAACCTGTTGAGACTATGACTGAGCCCACTCAACTTTGAGTTGTTTCCTCGGCGTTTTGTGTTCCGAGGGTAACAGCTCAGCAGTGGGAGTGGTCTCGGATTTTAATGTTGCGATGGCGACTTATTGATGGGGGTGGACTCGGTTGTGGACTCTTGGTTCGGTCGCCTCGCCAGACGGGCTTGATGGTGACTGAACCTGTTGAGGCTATGGCTGAGCTCACCTAACTTTGAGTTGTTTCCTAGGCATTTTGTGTTCCGAGGATAACAGCTCAGTAGTGGGAGTGGTCTCGGATTTTAATGATCCGATGGCGACTTATTGGTGGGGGTGGACTCGGTTGTGGAGTCCACCCCCACCAATAAGTCGGGCTTGATGGTGACTGAACCTGTTGAGACTATGACTGAGCCCACCCAACTTTAAGTTGTTTCCTCGGCGTTTTGTGTTCCGAAGATAACAGCTCAACAGTGGGAGTGGTCTCGGATTTTTACGTTCCGATGGCGACTCATGCCAGAGGGGCTTGACGGTGACTGAACTGTTGAGACCGTGACTGAGTCCGTTCAGTGAGGGGCGGCGAAACCGGTGAATGAGGCCTGTCAGCGCCCTTTTATTGGGGGGCGACCAAGCTGACGCTGGTGGAGCTGCAATCGGTCCCCTCGGAGTTTTGTGTTCCGTGGAAGACAACTCAAGTTCGGGAGTGGCCTCGGATTTTTATGTTCTGATGGCGACTTATCAGTGGGAGTGGACTCGGTTATCGACTCCGGGTTTGGTTGCCTTGCCAGACGGGCTTGATGGTGACTGAACCTGTTGAGACTGTGATCGAGTCTGCTCATGAGGGAGTGATTTTAGTTATGACTTCCGGATCCGATTGCGACATGCCAGAGGGGCAAGCAGCGATTGGACTTGTCGAGGTTGTAATGGAGACTACTAACGGGAGGGGTGCCGGTCATGGTTTTCATGACTGGTAGTCAGTTAGGCGGTTTTGAGATCTGACAGCGCCCCTTTAGGGGCTGTGGTTAGACTGGACGCTGACTAATTGAGGCTTTTGTGTGAGGATCTGCGATGGTACGATTGAGAGGTTTACCTTGATATCGGCCTAGTAGAATTCTTCACATGTCGGTCAAACTCCCTGTACCTTGCGGAACTCGTGCGTTATGGATGATAAACCTTACTACCGACGGAATGGACATTAGCAGAGGGCGTATTCATTCCTATCTTTGGTAGGGGCAGTCGGTGGGTTCGCGCGCCCGCCGGCCTTGCACGTTCCTACCCTGTTTGGGGTGAGTGTCTCTTGTGTGCCTGAGATACATGCCCAACCCGGTGAGGGAACTCGCCCTTCGGGGTGGGTTAAAGGGGGCGAACCGGCGCAGCGTAAAGGCCCACTGGCCGATCCCGTTCCATCGCCACCAACCCGAGTGAGGTACATCTCTGAGTTTTAGTGGGTAGGCCCTGTTTCTTGTCCGGTTCCTCTTAGAGTAGTTCCACAGAGAGAGTCCCACATAACCCGTGAACCCTTGCGCCCAGGGGGAGCGGGTATGCGTAACGCATTTCTCAGCGTCAAAAAAAAAGGTATCCGATTATTTAACAAATAAGAATGCTTGGACTTAAGATGGTCCAGCAACTGGATAATTATCTTGTTGCCATTATTATTAAATTATTATGGTATCATTTTAAGATAGTATTTTTTCTCAATTTAGAATGTGTTGATGTGGTAATGACATGGTTAATTGTGAATGTCATTACTCCCATTAGAGCTAGTGAGTTTCTTGTGCGTACTTATTATTAGCCAAAAGACGTCCTGAGCGAGTAGTAGGGAATAATGTTGGACGATTCAAAAGTGGTTAAATTGAATAAAGATTATTTTGCCTTTGACTTTGATCACACATTTGTTAGATCGCTAATAGCTTTTAGCACTTGTATTGGAACTCCTAAACAACGAAGATACAACAACACCTAGACAAAAGGCCACATAGAAAAGTTCCTATTCTACGTGATTGGAAATTAAACTCGGGACCTCAGAGATGGCAATACATTGAAACCGGTAAGGGAGTCACTTTGGCATACTTTAAAAAAATATGTACACCTTTCCTTTTAACCGCAAAAGAACAGTCAATCAATGAATCAAATTGAAAATTATTTATACTTCTTTACTTTCACCTTTTATCTACTCTGAAAAATGCTCTTGTAACTATTAATACATCATTTGCTTTTAATACATCGTTCAAACATAAACGAATGATATTTTCGACGCTTAAAAGCAAATATGTTTCAACTCACACGGGCAATATTCTGAAAAAATTATGAGTGACGGGAATATATTTGAAGCTATATTTAATCTAATTAAAAGCTATTTTGCTAAATGTGTTATCACAATGCCTCAAAATCTTCGAAAGCAAGTTTTTGTAGGTTAATGTATTATTGCTTAGTAGCTTTCATTTATGGATCATGAGTCTATCTGCAAAACATGCGTGAAACTACCAATAACGAATCATTATTACCAGCCTACTAATGTCGCCATTGCAGGGCTTAGGCCTATGGATGGGATCGAATCAAATCGAATAGGGAGAACAGGGGCTCGACCGCCTAACTCATGGACGTAGCCGTAGTCGTAGCTATAACCTACGCTTTATCGATATTCCACATGCATCTGTTTATATTCTTTTAAAATTCTTTTTTTTAATTATATATTTTATCAAACATTTTGGTTTGTTTTTCTAAATAGCATTGTTTGTATCAATTCGATATTTTGTAATTTTCGTTTAATTTTAATAATTCAGCAAACAAAAACAACTTAAAGCATTGATTAAATATGTAAATAATAAAAAAAATATTAATTTTAAAACAATATCAACAGATTCATGTGTAAAACCTGTAAAGCGTAGGTTATAGCTACGACTACAGATACGTCCATGAGTTAGGCGGTCGCACCCCTAGCCATGAACCACCATGCGAGCTCAGGGTTTTAAACACAGTATATGCTTTTCTAAAGCACGGAGAAGTTTGAGATAATCATTTTTTTGCCAGCCATTCTATGACCGGATATTTCGAAAGTTACTTACTACTGCGCCAACGAGCTCCAACAGCCATATATAATATTTATTACGAACCTCACCTCTATCTTAGTCATGCCGGTGACTAGATCTAACACTCTTTGAGTTCCAACGGTGTTTAAGTTGAGAGCATCGCGTATGAACATATCGAATCTGTAAAAAGTTTATAAAGTTAGAAAATTTATTTAATATTATAAAAAATAGAGAAGTACTTTCAAATATATTTTAACTTGTTATGTTTTTTAGTCATGAAGGATAATATATTGAATCAGTCTCTGTAAAAAGATACAAGATGGTACAAATTGGATATCTCTCTTTCGCGCTCTGGATAACCTCATCGAAGTACTTTTTAATAGAATTAAGATGTAGTGATATCGCTCCTATACAATATGAAAATAGGTACAATATTCCACTATAATCTACATATTGTATATCCAAAACACATACCTAACGCATGCTGCGCAATGGAAAACAATCTGACATTCATTCTGCAACATCGCTCGGTCGCTCATTGCCATGCCCATGTCTTCCACTAAGATATCACCTGGAACCACTTGTAGTTTCTGCAGCTGCTCTGGTTGTTCATTTTTTATAAAATCGAATATCTGTAAATTCAAAAACTTTAAAAATGATGTAAAATATTCTTAAAAATAATGAATCTAGTAAATATCAAAATTTAAAACATTAATTAGGAAATACCTAAAGGGTCTTATAGAAAACGATGCTCGAGGAGCTTAATAGTGCAATGAGAAACGCATTAGATCTGTGATATAGAGATTAAGCAGCTTTTGCATTGACTTGCTATAGGATGGGTGACCAAATTGTACGTGTTTCAAGAGACACGACAAGCAGTGGATACCGACAACTGCAATTGTTAATACACACCAATTCGCACTGGCTCTACATGTTGGGTTAGACTCGTTCTTCATTTTTAATTCTCTCAATAAGGTTTGTATCACAGTAAAAACAATAATAGGCTGATAAAGATGATAAAAACCTTCATGGAAGGCAACAGAAAACCCATTTCCTTTGACGCACCATTTCAAATTTAGTTTCCGCTCTCAAATCAGCTCAAACCATGGGTATAAAAAAAAAACAAATAATACTGAAATCTAACAGTGTTATTAATAAATAAGGTTTAGCGTCAGGGTAAATTTAAGATAAAATTGCAATTTTAGTATTGGTTCAATACAGAGAATAAGCAAACGTACTACCTTCTAGAAGTAAATATTACTCCCGTAGAATCTCGTAATGGGGTAAACCCATTTTGCTAAATCTCTGTTTATAAATATGAATTTTGACTAATACTAAGCGCGGTCTCAGCGTAAATTTACTCCAATGCTAAACCTTGTTTATTAATAACACTGTAATTGTTTAATTTTAAAATTATCGCAATCCCTTTCAATTTGATATTTGACAAATGTGTGAAAGCTATTGAGAAACGTAAAATAAAAGAATTGAATATTTTGGCGATTTTAATTAAGTCGTCAATCATTCAAAATATTGTTCTAAACATTTTAATCGCTATTGCGATAGATTTAAATAAAAAAGTAGACAATTAGCCCACCGCTTTGTGTTATAAGAAGACCAAAGATAATAAATAGGGGAGAGCCCCCTCTCCCCTATTTATTTAGAACAGGGGCAGTTTTGATACAATCGATTTATTCTTCATCTTTTCTAACCTACTTAACCTTTTTAATTCTGATAACACCAAACTACACATCTGTCAGGTCCCAACTAACGTCAATGTTCGTGTCATTTTACAAAAATATTGCCGGTTATTTTACGAAGAAGAAAATAAACAAATATTTTTTTGCTTGTAAGCAAATTTCTAAAAAGTATTATTTTCGAGTGCCCCCGTCTCCCCTATTTTAATCTCTTTGTCAAAAGATAAATAGGAAAGAGAATATGTATTCACTGACCACTTCTAATTTTTAAGTCCGTTTTTGTCTAGAAAATACTGATAAAAAAGTAGGAAATTACTAAAATAAATCATAGCAATGATATTAATTGCTTCTCTTTTTTATAACAAAATATTTTATTTTACGTGTTGATATAGGTTATATAAGTATTTATTCTTCTGTATAACTTCGCTACTCAACGCTAGATGACTCTAATACTTACCCTACAGTTCAAAAACTCATCGATTCTTTCTTTGCTGCCATGTCCCTTCTTAGCTCTCATGAGCAGATACAGATTCTTTACATCCGGACAACATCTTAAAATCTTCTCCACTAAGACTTTTCCCATAAAACCTGTGGAGCCGGTGATAAAAATTGATTTGCCCGCGTAATACTCTTTCACGCTCACAGATGACGCCATCGTCGCTGTATCTGTAAAGAAAAAAAAAATAGTTTTAGAGAATCATATTTATTATGACATGTCAGATTAAGATAAATTAATCCTATTATTGTTTTATGCAATTCTTCCGTGCTTAGGATCAAAGAACGATTTTTGGGTATCTATATCTAAACATGTTGCCTCCTTTGCGCCCTTTGTTATGCCCTTCGTTAAAAATGAACTTATAGAATCACTTAATAGAGGTTAGCAACCGATTACGGAATGTAATCTCTACTATGGAATATTGAAATTCCTACTTAACTTATTCCTAATTTTGAAAAATATGTACCTAAACTAGCCTTCTGAATGCGACTCCGCCCGATTCATCTAGTTTTAAGTCTAGAAATGAGAAAATTTCATTAAACTTTTAATCCCCTAATTTACCCCCTTAGGAGTCAAATTTCGTAAAATCTCATCTTAGTGAATACCTACATCCTAAAAAGAACCCGCATACAAAATTTAAAAATCCTAGCACTTGTAGTAACGAAGTCTCATACAAACTTTCATCCCCTAATTAACCCCGTTAGGAGTTGAATTTCATAAAATCCCGTCTTAGTAAGCACATCCGTCCTAAAAAGAACCCGCATGCAAAATTTGAAACTCGCACTTGTAGTTTCTGAGATTTCGTAATGACCTTTCGCTTATATATATATAGATAGAATGTCAATGTCCAGGAAATTTGCAAAACATATTAATATTTCTATCAAGAATAATTAAGAAACATTTCAAGTATTTTATTTCAGGGATACGACTCCATAGTTGGTAACTGTGCTCTACTAAAGTTTTGTAGTAGAAACCATAAATGATTAGTTCGCAAGGCGGTTGATGATATTCAATGTCATTTATTATAAACTGACATACCTATGCGTAAAAAACATTAGATTGCACAACACACAAATGAAATTGTAATTACAGATAATTAGACGTTTTATATGCTGAGTATGACTTTTCCGAACATTACAATGATAACGGTCTTGTAATACACAAGGTGTATTAGTAATCCAGTACTGAACAAATAATTAGCAATTACACAACGCTTTCACACCATTAAGGTACAATCAAATAAAAAAGCCGTTTGAAGTCATATTTATTTAATTGAATTACTTGTCACAACACTATCTATCTATATCTTCTCGCCGTATTCTTTGCGGAGTAGGCAGAGAGAACCAATTGCCACAAAGCACGGTCCTTAAATACATCTTCCGCCATTTATTACTCTTTTAATACATGTCGGTTTTTATGGCTTCTAGCATCACTTTCTAACAGCACACGATTGGTTTGATCGTAAAAGGTGTGCCTTGGCCTTCCTCGGCTTCTAAATCCTTCCACTTTGGCGTTATATATCAATTTTGTTTCATCCAGCATTCTTTTCACATGCACAACCATGCATGTTTCTTTTGATTTTTATAGCGACGCTATCTTTTAGGTCAACTCTCTTACTCATCTCTTCACTACGAATGCTGTCTGCCGCTGCTGCGGTTACTCCGCTGTTGTCTAATATTTATTATTATTTTATTTAAGACTTATTAATGAATTTTGTTATGGTTTTCACTTATTTGACGTAATATTGCAATGAGTTAAGAGATGAGCTTAATTATATTTTGTGGAATTTTATCATAAAGATGGCAATAACATAGTGTTTAACTTAAATGAATCATCAAGGGAATTACACGTTGAAGCAGATAATATTCCGATTACTGCGCAAATGTGCAATTTGCGTCGATTCTATACTATAATTGACCATGACTAATGAAGATGAGAGCTATTCACTTAACGTGATGCCGTTTCAACCAACTGTTTTCCCGTGACTTTGCCTGCGTAAATTATAGCCAATGTCGCCGAGTATGATATAGCTTCTGTAGGTGAAGGAATTTTCATGAGCGGATAGTATTTCTGAAGATAGCCCTGTACAAGCAAGTTGGAAACTTACTTATTGCCTCTATAATGTAGTATGTTGGTATACTACATTATAAAGAGGCAATAAGAGGGGGGGGGAGGGGTTAGCCAACGCTAGCTGTCCTGCACACGTAGCACATGACGATCTCGATAACTTTTTGTCTTATCGCCAGGACGCCCATTTATTATGGCACTCTCACCCGAGAAAAGTGACATTTGGTTTAGACAAAGCATTTCTCGAATTTGTCATACTACGTATAGTGTTCCTGCACTGCAAGCTGCTCAGTGATTCTTTACTGAATAGGTTCGTAAGCTAACACACCCAGTTGAAGAGTTCAACACACCCCCAATCGTAATAAGCCAAAGATTTTGAAACAACGCTGCAAAAGAATAACAAAGCTGTAGGCTCAGATATTTTGAATGCCATTATTTAAAAAAATAATAGATCAATAGAACTTAATAATTGTTTAAAAAACGCTTTCGAGTTTAACGGACGGATTTTTTATAACATTTATAATACAAACAAAAAAAAACATATATTGCCGTCGAACATATAACCTCCTCCATTTGGTTTTTGAAGTCGGTTGAAAAATAAAGACTTAAGTAAAAACTTAAATATATTCATTAACAACTAACATTTAAATATCGAGTAATACTCAAATATGGTTCTATGTTTCGAAGATAAGTTATCAAAACATAAATAAAATTTAAAAGTCTAACAGTTATTATAAATATAGAAAATTGTATTTTAATCGGTCTAAAAAATATATTGGAATGCGGATAGTATGTATGCGGTTTTTATGAATATTCGATAGGTAAAAAACGTTTGTATCGATTATAGATGTCGCACTGACTTTTGTGAAGGTTGTTAAGGCTTGGCATAATAATGACAAATGCGAAAAAGAGACGAAATTGCCACGCACGTCGACAAGATAAATAGGGACAGAGGATAGTATGTTGAACCTCGAAACTCAATTTGTAATTAATTAATAATATTATCATTAGTTACACGCCTACAAAGTGACTTATAAATTTTCCCAAAAAAGGAAATATGATTAAAAGAAGAAATGAAATAAACTGTCGTTCTGTTGGCATGCAAACACAACCTCGAACAATTTTACTACCACACAGGTTAAAAGTCGCTTCTGTTTGTGTAGTATTTTTTATATTTTTTCTGGGATACCTACAATTGTTCCAGAATACAAAAAATAAAAAAAAAATCAATTTCCATTAGATATCTAATAATTACGATAATGAATAACATAGGAAACGTCTTATGCCCAAATTTGTTATTCTAATACATGTTATTAGCACATATTTGTGAAATCCAGTGAGCAAATATTTTTCAGTACTTTTTTTTTCTTTAATCAACATTTAAATAACACTTACTCACTGTCTGCTGCTGCAAACATGACGAAAGAGTTTCTTATACCTCACCATTATCACATTTACGTAAATTAACTTCATTTATTGTGCCTTCTATTGTACACCTTTCTAAACCAAACTAAACAAAATCTGACTTTAATTTGAGATTGTTGTTGAAAGTAATAAGAATACTGCTGCTAACTAAACTTCAATTTAGTCTAGTTCATTCAACTGAATTATCACCTTCATTTGGCTTGCCTTTTTTGTTTCCTCAATTTATGATTGAATTTTGAGTAAAAATATAACCTATTTCGATTAGTATTCGATACACGGCACATATGTTGTATAATGTTCAATTTTTATTCAGATCATATCTCTTACAACTTCTGACTTAATCAGCAATTGTTTACATATGTAAAATAAACGGCTTCAAACTTTGATAAAGGTATGTACCTCTAGTTTAATTAAATTATTAACTAAAATGCTCAGGTAGTGTAAAGTGTAAATATAGATATCTCTTCATGTCAAAATCTTTTATATTCCCAATAATTTAGTAGGTAAGTACAGGTAAGTAGGTGCTGCTGAGCAAATTTCGATACAGAAATAATGTGCTAGATATGAATTGAATCGCAATCAACAATTTTAGTGCTCACGACACAGGTCACTTTTTATCTGTGAATCTTTTTGTTCTTGTATCTTTGATTAGATTAAAAAAAAGGATTGCCACGGATGGTCTTTTATGAACACAGAAGAAAAAACATCTCTCATGTGACGTCTGAGCAAGAACCCTTCGCCTTTAATTAAAAACAACAAGCCGCGTGTGTTGTACGATATAAATTATTTATGACTATAGAACATGGATTTTATGAATGTTTACATCATTGCTGTAGAACGTTTGTATAAATAAATAAATAAATAATGACATAATCCAAATATCTAGCTTTTAATGGTAATTAAATATAATTATTATGATGCAGCTCACAATTTGTTGTGGATAATAAATATTGCCAATTTAATGTAACGTAACTAGCACTAGAACAACTAAGACGCTTCTAATATAACCTCATTTGTCCAGTTAGAATGAGAAGTTTCTAAGTTACGAACAGATGAACATCCTTACGTACATACTGGCCAAAATCATCACCCTCCTTTTTGCTTCGCCGCCGTAATCGAGTTAAAATATAATGCTTGGATAAGGATAGGCAAGCTATCAGGGATCGACAACCACCAGGTCATCGCCTCATACATTAAGTCATAATGCCAAAAAATACAAAATAAACTTTGAAAAAATGTGAATTAAAAATCAACCATAAACGAAAAAGGCATGTCTATCCCTAATTGATTATGGAAACATTAATCGTTCATCGACTACAAATCATAAATTTCCAATAATATTAAAAATTGCCTTTAATATGAAAATATCTTCATCACAAAAAAAATACACATACCCATACGCTGTTGATTTTGATCCAAGGCCTAAAATGTTGGCGATCCCTGTTCAGTGGGCGTTACTTAGCTTTCCGGATTACGTGTCTCATTTCCATTGAATGGGAATAGAAAGTCGTACAAATGAAGATCCTACACTTAAATTGGGCAATATTGTAACTATGGCAAATACCTACGATAGGCTACATAGTTGATTACTTTTTTAAATAAATAGTCCGTTAATATTAGAGAAATAATGTAGAAGTAACGCATGTATTCGACAAACAGTTTTAGAAATAAGGTGCTATTTTTGTGATTCGTGAAAACGCTCCCTACAAAATGAAGTCATGATGTGATATCACGCCTTGCTACAGCACCGAAAAACATATGGGCATCTGGGCAATCTTTATAATATCTTTGTTAGTTGTGTTGTTCATGTATATAGTTGTTAAATGAAATCTCTTAAATTTTATGTAACTAATTTAATGCATATGTATTTTATTAAACATTTGTAATATAGTTTCCCTACTTTTTTAAGATTTCAAAGAGTAATATTTTCCAAATTAGTGTAAGTATTAAGATTTATTTTGTTATTAGTTAAATGATACATATTTAGGGTTGTGTCCTACAAATGAAACCTGAATTTTCATTTGTAGATATAATTATAACCCTATAATTAAAATACACGAGCTATTGGCGCTAATAATCGGCGGGGAATTGGTAATGTGTTTGTACTCTTTGAACACTGTTAAAACCTAAAATAGTTAGGTTTAAATTACATTCTTCTGTACTTTGTTGTCTAGACTATCTAATCGAGCCGTATTCTAGTTGACTAAGTAATTAGCAATATAGTGGTCAAAAACAATGGCCATATTAGGCCACAGCAACATTTTTTTTATATAGATTAATCAATATCCCTTCTTAAAAAATTTAAAAACAAGTCTGGTGAAATTTAAATAAAAACTGAGATTTAATCACAAAATATTTTAACGCTAATTAGGTTTTTAAGAATTTGCTAAAGGATCGATTCCAAAATTGAGAATAAGAACTAGTCAACACTCTGCCGGTATAATTAATTGCAGTCAAATATGGATGGTTCATTATATTTCTCATTTTTGATATCCAAATATGGATAGATACGGCTTGAAAGTTATATCACTTCGCCGTATTGATATAAAGAGTCGTAATTAGCACCCACTCGCGTTATGTCACCTTTTATTTGATGTTTCAAGGCTTTTGAAATGCAAACGTTTTACGTTGCGATTTATCGAGTTTTTGCTATTTAGGAGATGTGATATGTATTGACTTGCGGAGCAGTTTAAACAGAACGTCAAACAGAACGTTTTGCGATGAGGAATTTAAGCAACATTCTCAAGAGCCGGTTTTTTGCTGGGTGACCAAAAATTTATCATCTGCAGCTCCTCTGTTCTTCGGAACGCACGATGTGTTGTTCCCGGCTGCATTTTCAGTCATTTATACCTGCCAAATCTTACTTGTGTTTATTGATTATTATTTGTGACATTTAATATAAAACCATATTTTATTTATTAAGTAACGATTCAGAAATAACTCTATATGTTTACCCGTGTTTAATGAAATCGTCAAAGGTGCTTTAATTTCTTGTTTCACAATAAAATTGCAACTAAAAATGAGTGAAAAAATTCTGACATAATAAAATAAAATTTCGTTACCTGAATTATTTTTTATGATTAATAATAATTTTACATTCCTCTGTCCACCCAAATCACACTATCACAGTACTCTTGTGATACAAAATAATGGGGTGTTGTTGATTTTAATGTTCTGTCTAAAATAATTTCAAAGCGTCAAAGCTGCCAAAGTTGAAGTCTCTAGATGTCGCTATTCAATATTGAAATTTGGTTTTAAAGTAAGTATATATATGTGATAATTTGACGTCATACTCCAAACCATAACGTTGCCATTAAACTGACATTAAGAACAGCGATCTTCGTGAAGAATAAGACTTTATCAATGAGAAGATATAACTTTTAAGTAATTCAGGTTCATCAATAAACATCATGTTCTTCTCTATCATTTCTTACGATAGTACTTTAGTCGATCGCGTGCTGAAGAAAGGTGATGTCAGAAGCTATAAAAACCGGCGAGCATGTATGAAAAGAATAATAAAAGTCAAGGAAGCCAAAATTAATGCAAGGGCTGTGTCACAAGCTCTGAGCGTTCTGTATCCCTTGCGGGATAGGGGGAGATCCCTACCCCTCAAGGGATAAAGTGTGAAGAATGAAGTGTGAAATATAATTATCTTATTTTTTCATAATATTTCCATACGATCGTCAATTTCAATGATCACCTTAATAAGTTCACAAATAAATGAAATTAATATACAAATTAGTTATACCAAATATGTTTCTCAGCTCTAAATCACCGTAATAATTTTATGATGGAATATATTTTGGCCATCTTAACAAGGTCATATTCAAGGCCATCGTACGATAATATTAAGCAATCGTTGCTCTACAATAGAATCAGCTGACTGGTTGTATTTAAAAGATATAAAAATATAAGAACTTAAAAAAAGCTGAAATTGAAATAGGTTTTTTAGCTTAGTTTATTTCAGAGTAGCCTTTCTCAAAAAGTGTACCACCTATGCCTAGGACATATTTTGGGAAATGTTTTAAGTTAGAGCATAAAATGTGCTTATCTCGTTATTAATAAACAGTACACGTAGATCTAGATTTTGTATAAACCGAACCGTATAGACGGCTACTGACTCATAGCTGACAGTTTTCTTGTCACTACCACTGACGCCCGTCACTGACCTACCTATCTACAGACTCCATGTAAACGCTTCCTAAGCCTCAGATGTAAGTATCTAAAAATCCGCACAGGACTCGTATGTTGGTAAAAGGTCTTGTGACCGACAAAGGAGCGTAGACTGTATTAAGAGATAAATTAGCAAGAAAAAGATATATTTTAAAATACGTACAAACACAACACACGTTATGAGACAGCAACAACAAAAACTATACCAATAACAATTATTAAAAGTAACAAAGTATAAAAACACATATGAAAATAGGCTACCAAAGCTGTTAAAGATGTCTTCCATAAGCCTATTCTACTGTGTCTGTAGGCCTATTCTGCTGTGTCTGTAGACCTATTATACTGTATCAGTAACTTAGCAGCGATGTAATCAAAAGATTGATGATAAGGCGAATATAATAGTCATCCTCTGATTTTCAAACAGTTATTATTGCTACGATGATAACTTTTAATTAACAGAAATTCTTAAATTTTGTTAGTGTTAAAAGCAAGTTTTTTTCTGCTCTTTTAACATTTCAAATGACCTTCACACCAGGATCATACACCCAAAACGACAATCGTGAACTTAAAAAAAAAACATCAAATTACACAATGATCATTCCGATGAAGCGGTTCCCCTATATACGGTATCTATAAAATTTTTAATGATTTCATAGTGCTTCTCTCTTACCCTATAAGCGTAAGATAAGGAAAAATGTATGATCATAATGAAATTGGCAACATCAAAGGTCACCAGCGCATCATAATTAACTTGTTATATATGTAAGTGTTTCTCCAAATCAATATCGATAATAATAGTAAAAAAAAACATAAGGATGGC